CCCCCCCCCCCCCGAAAAAATAACTTGAGTGCGCCACTGATCAGTATACTAATGTAAAACTGTTGCGAGTACAAGAAGAAATGAAAAATTTGTTTCTTAAAAATAAAATGTTAACTTACCAGAAGCTGTATTGCTTATAACTGTCGCTTTTATTGCGAAATCGAGCGAGAATCTTTTCAGACGGTCGGTAAAGATTGATAGTCAGCAATATACGAAAGAAAAAAAGTACGTAGAGAGTGCTCATTGACAAATTGATACAAATGGGCTCGACGACGATATCGCATTTCCTGCGCTTTCGTGTCTCCTACATTCGATTTATAGTAATGTCTACCACTTATTTTTATCTACGACGGCAAATCGGCGAGTATATCTCGTACATTGAGTTCTTTGAAAATAGTTTATGATAAATTAAGAGAAATGATTAAGAGTGATATGATAATAAAAATTACACAATTCTTATGAAAATAAAATCTTGTCTTTTGATTGATTTAAGATAAATTATTAAAATTTGTTAAGACAAATTTATTAACACTTATGTATTTTATCTGAAATCAAATTTTAAATACAGTTATTAAAATATTTAATGTTAATTATACATAATTAACCCAGTAAGCAAAATGTTAACAATGTTGGTTATTTAGAAATATAAGTACACTAAAGTATTTATACACTAAAGTAAAGTCAAACCAATTTTGATAAAGAAATATCTAAAATTTGCACAGAAATTCATAGTTGAGAGAAAATATGTCTAGAGTTCTACTTTTGACATCCGATACGATTAATAATCCCCATCAGACTACCCGATTTGTACTTCGTCTTCTACTTTTCCGATCGATTTGCGAAGAGCCATAAGTTAAAGCGAGAAAGTCAGGAGCGTTTTGTCGTGCCGCGGTGGCACGAAAACTTTTGACATATTGTAGCGAATCGCTAACTCTCCTAAAAGAACACAATCGTAGATGTTGGATGTGGGACTCGATTTTCTCTTTCCGATCGAAATATCACGATGCGTTCGGGCACGTCACTGGTGGTAACGAGTTCTCGCTGCTTTTACGAAATTGTTCCGCGGATAAAGTTTGCACTCGGCAATAACAACGTACGGAGACTCGCTCTCGTGAGCTTTCCGACTTTTCCGCAAGTGTGCAATAGTACAGACAACTATTGATACTGTTTCGTAAACTTGCGGCGAAGATAAATCGGAGTGATAAAGCGACTTTGCGAATTTTCTTGTACCTCGATCAAACTTGTGTCCACCGTGGACAATCAACTGAGATTACATTAAGCAGGAAAATCAATGATATTAATGAAAAATCACTAGACTATTTTAATATATGGGTCATTTGGGGAGTTTTCGGAGCAAAGTATAAACGGCATCAATATTTTATCTTGTAGCGCAGATTGTTTTTCAAAAATAAGATAATTGACTTTCCTCAACTTCTTCAAAATAAATTACGTTGCAATTTCTCGATTTGATTGACAAGATTCAGAACAGAGAGAATTGCGACGATGCACATTCGATATGTACACTCGCGCGGGATATCCATTATTGCCACACGCGCGCGGCTATTCCTGTCATGAAGCGGACAGACAACGGGCTTGGCTTACGTGGTTGCACGGATCTGGACTAATGTTACATCAGTCATTCCCCTTTCTATGTTGCCGTAACATTTATCTTCGTCGGACTCGTATATGTATTTGTCATGAATACGTGCCTCTAAAATTTTTACTTTCACAATCCTTCTCTGTTATTTTAGAAACTATTTCTCTTGTCTCTGTTCAGAAATTCAATGCAAATTTCATTTACACCCCCGTAGCAAATTTAACATTTTATTCCAACAACTCGATGATAAAGTGAAAAATTTTTAATTCTGAAAAGTAAGATCTTATTTTGTGTGCGTTTAGAATTTCATAAAATATTATGTCAGGCATAATTTGACATCTGTTTTGCTGGAATTAAATGTTACGTCGAATATAGCTTGATAATCGAGTTATGAGAATTAACTTAGACAAATCTAAAATTTTGAATTGACTAATTTTCGCTATCTTTAAATTTATAACGTAATATTCCGTGGAAAATTATTAATGTAATTTAAAGAAGGATTTTTATTTTGCGTCACGACAGATTTTTGTGACATTAAATTACTCACGAATCGATTTCATTCCAATACCTCGCTCGACGTTAATTTTCAGAACTATGCGAGGAATGGGCGCTGGCGAACAGCCGTGAGTGCGTGGAGAGTGGCAGTTCGGCGAGCACGACGCACGGGGAGGAGTCCGAGGATGCGTCCGAGGCGAGGTTCACCCTCAAATATTTGGGCAGCACCCTCGTCGAAACTCCCTCGAGCGAGGAAGCCACGGCGGAAGCTATCAAGACTGTCATCACTATGGTACGCATTTGAAAACCTTTCATAATTTATTCTTTAAACTTCACTAGCGGCGTTCTGGAAAAGCTTTGGTTTTCAGCCTTGCAATTTTTTTTCGCGGTTAAACTGGGGTCAGCTTTAAATTTTTTAAATTTGTGTAAATATATTATGTGCTCTCTTTTATTTTTCTCTTTAAATTTATTATTATTTTTTACGTTGTAAATTGTTTTTAAAAAAATTGCATATTAAAAAAAATGAAGTGTTGATTCATGTTTGCAAATTCTGTTATATTTTTAATTGTAATATATTTTATTTCTCTAATCTTTTAAAATTTTTTTTATTTTTACTTTGGAACCTAATATTTGAGAAAAACGTAACAACTATTCACAGTATTAATATATATATATATATATATATATATATATAATTATTTTTATGTAAAACCACTAGAACTATATTTAAAAGTACTTAGATTTTTTATTCTTTTTTGAAACACAATTTGCAACACATATTTATGTTGCACTTGTATAATGAACGCATATAATACTTCGCGCAGAATTTTCAATTATTAATAAATCTGGCGTTTGTTGAGAGAGCGAAAGAGAGAGAGAAAGAGAGATCAAGTTTGCAGTCATGCCGGAGATTGCCACTGTATTATTTATCGTCGAAATTGTATTGCGCCGCGTAATTTACTTTAAACCATTTTCCGACGCGACCACCGTGAAGAGAATTTAATTGAAATTGCAAGATACTAATTTCGCGAATAGCCGCGGGTTCGTTAATAAAGCTAATGAAAATGAATCGTGATTACTTTCTTTTGCATTTATTATTGCTTTGTCTCTGTAACAGTCGAAGACGCTGTTTTTCCCCTTTTTTCATATTATTTAATAGAATCCGGCTTTTGTGCTAGTCACCGATAAAGGTATTGTGGAAAATTGGAATCGAGTTTCATATAGCTACGAATACGCGAAATTCGGAAGTACATAAAGCAAAAATCATGTAAAGGGCGAATATTGCCGTACAAAAAACAATATTAATTAGAAACTGCTTGTTTGATCCGACATCCAGTTGTTAAATATGTTTTAACTTTATATGCCAAATATCGAGCATTGCTTCTATTGCTTCTAAAGAGAATTTTATTTTATTCTATACGTGAAAACATCACAAAATATGTGATTTTCGATAAATATACGATTGTTAGGAATGAAAGTTGGTTACGGAAAAATTATTCCAACAAATATCCTTCCGACAAATGGATTTATTGTTTATCGAGTTTTACGTATTTTGAATTCAGTACATGAGATATTAATAATTAGTGCGGAACCAGTATTATTTAACAAAGTCATGCCGATGAAATTTATAAAAATGAAAATTCTACAATAAAAAGTGTATAAAAGTTTCTGTAAGTTAATTAAAAAAAATCGATTTTACATTTACTAGTGAGAAGCAAAGTTCTATTAGTTTAGTTTAATAACGAAATCCTTGCTGAATAGCGTCGTTATCAACGAGGAAATGAATTTATACGATTTTACAGTGCGCGCGCGCGCGATTCGAAGAGCATAATTAATTAATGATGAAACTTCGTGCGCCTCATATAATTTCAATTTCGATGTGATTACGTCTCATACCGCGAGATTACGGGTGGAATTGTAGAAAGCGGTAATGTATGTATTTCGGTAATTTCCGGCGCATTTACTAGCGGTTTAGTCAACATGAAACGCACATGAACGATGGAAATACACTAGTTTTGCTCATTTCACAATAAATATAAAATGCTGTTTTCACGATACACTTATTACGTTTGTAATAAATAATCTATAAATTTTGCAGTATTTTGTGATTTTTTAGAACAATAGTGATTTACACATTATTTTTATAATAATTATGATTTTTGAAATGAGCGTAACTTATATCTCATTTTCATAATATATTCTTGCACAACAAATTTAATTTATAAAGAGTTTATATACAGGATTGAAGAAGAAAAACTTTTTATTCTATTTTTTAATAATCGATTGATTTGTGCAATAAAAATATAAATAGAAACAGGTCAATTTTGTTTTTGAGAGAAATGTACAACTGCATAAATGTACAAATTCAATATCGCGCTATTTCATTCTTTCAGTTGCAAAAATAACTATTTCAGCATTTTTTCAATATGTTGTAAAATAAACGGGACAAAAGCTTTCTTTTTTAATTTTCTCTGTATGGGAACAATTCGAAAATAATAATATAAAAATTAATATACAAAAATAATTTGAAAAACGCAACCCAACTGTGAACGCAAAATTGCAAGTCGGGACAATGGGAAACATCGGGGCAAAAAAAGTCTTACAAAATCGCTCGGTTTGAATATCCATGTTGCGCTAAGCTGCTTTTGTTCGAGTGGTTTTGCTACATCGCGTTCGCAACACACTGGAACAAACCGGCTGCACGTTTTTGCGAACGCCGAACGGCGTATTATCTTGATTTGGGTCGATTCAAAAGTTTCCTCGACGCGCACAATCGTATTCCGCGTCGGAGACTTCCCGATCAAAGCCTGCATTGCGTCTTGTCTCTTGCGCTAATTGCTCCGCCGGGCTCGCCATCTCCAATTGATCCTGCTTCGCCGTCTTTTCTATCTGTGTAATTGCGTCCATTATTGTTAATTCCTCTTAGCAATGTCGCATTCATTTCTTAGATTGCGAACAAAACTTATCTCTACAGCGTCTTTTGTCACGTAGAAACAATAAACTCTATTACTTTAAGTCATTTGGTGGAGAACACATTTTTCTTGTTAGACAAATTAATTACATAATTAACTATAAAAATTATATCTCTTATTTTGTAATTTTCTTTAGATATCTTTTATTATCATCATTAATTATCTTTCCAATGATTTTTGACGTGTTACGCGTAGAAAGAAAGAATTACTTTCATCTTCGTTGTTATACGTTTCGAAGTAATTTACTTTAAGCCAGCAATAAATGTGTTTTTATCACAAAGTCGGAGGTAATGTTGTTCGCGCATCTAATAGCATCATCTTACCTTGTCGCGGCTATAAAAGCAACTCCGTATAGTTTCCGTCATGTAACGTCTGCCCGCAAGTTCTCGCTGATAATGTTATTTCGTGTTTTCAAGTAAGAAGCTGCTGAAAGCGCCCTAAATTATTACATAAATTATTATATAGACGTAAGTCACTACTAATAAACATAAGTTGCTGCTTTCAAAGATAAATATATATTTCTCTTGTACATATATACACAGACCTAATAAGATTATAAATGAAGGAAGCTATAAAAGAAGTCCGGAGCTCTTTTAAAAAATTTTAATTTCGACTCTTGAGTTTCTTTTCAAAGCAAGAAAATAAGCGCTCGGATATTTAAATTATTGAAAAACGAGAAATGCGCGCGAATATGCGATTTCTCTCGCAACAAATAGCTTTCGAAAACACGGTTGAGCAAACGCGAACTGTTATACTCGTCATTGAGGATTAAACGTGGAAATTAAAAAATGAACAAAGAGAGGGCCTGAATGGGTTTCGAGTTTTATTATCGTCGTAAAACTTCTCCAAAAAGACTCGTTAATCTGCCGTGAAACTTCGTATGCGCGATTATATTTTCATGGCTTTTCCTCGGGGAAAACGTGGATATCAATCGCTTCGCTTAACTCCACCAATTGTTGTTTGAACAAAAGAGAGTGAAGCATTTAATTAAAAGTTCGACTGTCTTGTGTAGTTTCAGAAATATCAATTTATTGATATCATTGTTAAATTGTAAGTATGAAGTTTAATATAAAACTCGTCTTTGTGCACTTCAATAAGCTTTCCTCGTATTAATGATTCTAACAATATTATTTATTGTATAAATGTAGATTACAAAAAACCGATTTTGAGTTTTTCGCGTTAGGTGGCAATGTTAATTCCAAGTTGCGATTGTCATTTTTGTTAAACTTTTACTTTTTGCTTGTAATATTTCTTCTGTGCCCTTAATTCTTTCTATTCTGCAAGCGTGAAAGAAAATTCAATTTACATCAAGATAATTTTAAAATTTTATTTATAATATTACTTTTTCTCAACCTCTAACACTGAACTTTTATAATGATATTACCAGGAGCAATCTGTATTATCGTAAGATTCATCTAATTAGCTCGCTAAGGATTAAAGAAGCCTGTGTGTCCTTCCCGTATCTACGACAAAAGGATGCAGAGTCTGCTTGAGAATCGCCGGATTAGGGAACATTTCGAGCGACGTTCGCGACTATGGCGGCGGAAATCTCTGTGCACGGGTTAAATCGTTAAATGGACCGCTTAATCCGCGTGAAGCTCCGTAATTGAATTGCAATGAAGCAACGCGAAAGCTCACGGTTTATCACGAGATATTTGATTTCCGAAAAAGGTAATCGAGTTCACGTACCGTTTACTTGGGTTTACGCCTCGAATTTACTCTTGGGTTTTCCTCTAGGCGCTTCTGTAAACGGCGAAATTATTGCCGGAGCAGTAAAGGAAGTCAATATAAATCCGCTATTCGCTAATTCGGTACCGTTTTAACGTGGAAAATTGATCGATTAAAGATTAAGTCTTGATACAAAAATCATTGTATAATTCAGTATAGTAATAATATAAGTACACCGAAAAAATTGCATTCTTGAAATATATACTTAATAAGCACTCTTAATAGATATTTTTAACGAATAAGGATATTTTCTTCTTAACGTGATGTTTTTTAAAATATCTCTTTAAATTGAAATATATTCTTAACATTTCCGCATGCGCAATCATGCGCAACGTACGATGCGTGTCTATTGTTCACGTCACGTCTCACGTTCATGTCAGTGCGTTTAATTCTGTGCGTTTAATTCGGTGTATTTTTTGTTAATAATGGACAAAGAAGTAGCTAAGTGACTTGAAGAAGAAAATCTGATCGATTTAATGAAGGTATTTGAAAGTAACACAGACAGCACACATGTCCAAAATACATCCAAAGGATATCCAGAGGATGTTCTGTTGTTCCAAAAACGTCTTCGGGATATTCTCTGCACGTCTTTTGGATATGCTGTGCTGTCCGGGAAGTATTTGAAATATTTGTGTGCAACGATCTCTTAATATTGTAGTTTCCGATTTCAGAAAACACAAAGCTTCTTTCTTTTTCCAAATGTTCTCGTTAAAATTTATTTGTAATAATTAGTTTAATCTTTCTATCATCTTTGCCTATAAATATCTAGTTTAGCTATCCATCTAACCTTTAACTTAATTATTGTATATACATTGTATTGTATTGTATAATGTATTTTCTCAAAAAATATAAAATAAAAATAAAATAGAAATATAATATTTAATCTTTATTTTATATTATAAAATAATATAATAATGAGAAAATGTCCCGTTTAGTACGTATTCTTAAGAATATTTTTAAGAATACATACGTTAAGAATATCTGCTATTTTTTAGAGGATTTTACTCTTAAATTAAAAGGACTTCTTGGCGCTTATTTTAGAGCAAGATACTATAAATATAAGTGAAATATTCTTAAGATAAGAATACAATTTTTTTGGTGTATAATTTAGAAATTATAATGATGTAAAAGATAATAAAAAATAAAAGCGTGGTAGCGGAAGAATTATGAATACTATCAATCAAGAGTCTTTTCAAGACTTTTCGAACGAGACCCAAGTTTGCCTATTTATCTGTTCTTTCGTTTCTGAAATACAAGAAATTATAAACGTAATTAATTGAAAATTTGAGGATTTTTTAATATCTATATAATTAGAAACCAGAACGTGCAATAGTCTTTCGTATTTTATCATTCTCGGCAGTTTTATATATATTTATTATTTTATATATATTATTAGTTTTATATATATTTTTTCAATATAAAGAAGATGGACACCTCAGATATTGTTTATTAAATGGCAAAACCATGATTTGTATATGCGGAGTGACACCGCATGTCTGAACGGTTGTCTATTCACACTTGACAGGTTTCCGATTTAAAATTATTGCGGTTCATTGCGTTGTCACGTTTTCTCGGGGATTTTCCGGGGATTTTCACCCGTGTACACTCGAGCGTATTTGTATGCGCATTGTCTGTTTCATCTCTGTTACCTAGTATTGTCTGGCTCGCAGTTAAGCTCGTAGTTAAGCTCGCGATAAGGCATGCATCTGTCCCATAATACAATATACCAAATTATGATAAGGCTGATTGCCATTTGAAAAGGAGCCCAGCGTGAATGGAAACGCTTCTATCCATTTACTATTCGAATAGAACGGACGGACAGTCGTGATTTAAACCCTTACGAAGGCCCTTTGTTGTCAGCATGAATTACGTCATCCTATTTTCAGAACGTCTCTCTGTTGCTTTGTATTATATCAGATTATATTACAGAAGTTCATGAAAGAACCGATAAACAACTCTTATCTCTGAAATGCTGTCTGTTAATGTGCGAAAGCTTTGGTGCATCGGCGCGCTTTATCCCGTCTGTTTCGTTTGTTACATAGGCCAAAGCAAGCGGAAAAAAGCTGCAGAGAGTGTCTCTGGCTGTGAGCTTGAGAGGGATTAGAATGACAGACTTGGCCACCGAAGAAGATCAGCTTCAAGTCTCGATATACAGGTGAGAGCACTAGATTCAGTTAACTGACGATTAATTAATGTTAAGCCAGCAGTTTTTAATCCTAGCGTTAATTAAAAAATTTCGTAACAAGTTGCATTGAACTATGTTTACAAATAAAATATTTCAAGTACTCAGCGTGTGAAAAATAGTGCTAAACATTAATATTTAGTTAATATTTAGATAATTAAAAATCCGAATACTAAATGATTTTATTGTGTGTATTTGAGAAATTGTATCCGTTATCTACTGGCGAATTTAGTCGACTCTTCTTTATTCCCGCAAAATTAGATTCGTAGTGCAATCTAAACAATTTTGCGTTACACGGTGAAAATTGGAGCGTCGGCCTCTCCAATTCTTTTTCCGCGAAAAGCGAAGTGCAACATATTTTTCTCAATATGACAAAACACATTATGGACGTGATGAGCAAAATGCAACGATGAATATTTGTTTTTCGTGAAATATGCGCAAGTCCGTTCGACTGAAATTTTAATCGAATGCGAAACACGCCGTGGTTTCCTGCATATTTTGCCAAGCTGGTACGGTGGGTTACATTCTATATATGTGCGACTGAGAATACATCGAAAATTCAATATAATGACAACGATGATGATGGTATAGCGAGCGACGAATACGATTTTGATGCTCGTTGTAGGAAATTAGTGCAGTTATTTCCGTTAACTGGTGCAGCTTCTCTCTTATTAGACCGTCGTTCGATTTGCAGATTGCGTGATATTTTCAATCTCATCAATGGCGGAAACGCTGCACAATATTCTGTCGGCAAAAATGATTTTATTAGTCTCGATTCGCAATACTAAAAGTTCAAACAACATTTTTCAATAAAAAAAATTTTTTAAATTTAGAACATGATTCCAAGTATTATAAATAAACAATTCTTTCTAGAAAAACTCAATTCATGTTCGAAGCGAAGCCAAATTAAATGCATACTATATCATTTGTGCATGTAATAAAGGAAGTCTATGAATAAATATAATAAGTATTATTTGCATGAATCAATCTTACGGCGGAATACGTACAATTCATGTTATGCACTGAAAATTAATTAAATGCAACGAAAAAAGTGCGGTCGAGTGACGGCGCGTTCCGGAAGAGAGTCTCTTCTCGGCGAATTCCTGCGCGGTGCGAATGAATGAACGAAACGTACTTTTCTTGCACTCCTGCGATAATGATCTCGCGGACTCGTTAACCTAGACGCAAAATTCCGGACGAGGACGGTGATTTCCATTGTTACGGCACGGCAAAAGCTCGCCGCCGGGCTTTGTTCCGCTGGCGCATAATACACCTGGAGGTGCGCTGAAGTGGCGAACGAGAAATTTCATAGGGCGCGCAAAAAAAGAAGGCGAAGGTTGGGCGAACGGCGAGGGTTGACGTGCCTGTTATAAATTCCCTTAATCTCGTCGCTCGGTGCCGTTAACGACGAGTTAATTAACCAGCGTGCAAAGACACGCGGCTGAATAAAATTAAGCTACGGGATTGAAAGCATTAAAGGGTATTATTTTAGGGTCGATGGTATTATCGGCTGCCACTCGCAGTGGCAAAACTTAAAATTTTCATGATATTACAAAAGAAATAAAACAATCAAAGAAAATAGGATAAGAGAAGGAGAAAAGGCATTGTTAATGCCGTACGTAATAAACGAGACAATAAAGTCGCATTGTATGAAATATTATATAATTATTACATCGCACGAGACATATCAAATGGTTTTATTGCAACGTATTGTTATTTTTATAGTAAGCCGAGCTCGCGCTTTATTTAAGATAAGGAATGAAAGAGCTGCGAATTCCTTCGCGAGCACCGCGGCTGCCTAAACCGCGAGTTATATCACTGTATCCGTTCTTTTATAAGTGCGGTATATTCCGCGCACACTATCCTTTGCATACCCATTATTCTCGCTTCTCTTAGGATCCGCCTAAATGCCCTCCGGCAAACTCTCAACCGCTATACGGTAGCGAATACGTACCGTGCGACGTAAACGAAAGAGACTGTCGCCGCGAGCGATGGGCGTGGATTTGCATACGCATCGTGCGATGTTGGGTCGCGCAAAAGTCTAGGTATCGTTCAAAACGGCGTTATGTATATGAAGATGGCTTATTATATATATATTGTATGTATTTTTTTTTTGAAGCAAAAAAATAATCTATTTTTTAATAAAAAAAAATTAATTTTTGTCACTATGAATTACAAATATCGAGCAAATTCCTGTATTAATAATATTTGAATCTCGTTTGTTCTGCTTGTTCAGGATTTCGTATTGCTCGGCGGATGCGACGCACGATCATGTATTCGCATTCATCGCGACAAATCTGAACGAGACGATGGAGTGCCATGCGTTTCTCTGCCCGAAGAGAAAAATGGCGCAAACAGTGACACTAACTGTGGCGCAAGCCTTTAACACGGCTTATCAGGCGTGGCAGTTGTCGCAGTCTGATCCCAGGATTCATCACGCGCAGGATAAGAATCCTCCTTTAGCGGACGACAGAATCGGTAAGAAAGCTTTTCGTATCCGCGCGCTTGCGATCACCGCAGTAACTTAAGACGTCAGAAAAGTTCTTATCTTTCCATTAAAATGGTGAAAAAAATTGAGAGGGAAATTAAAGGAAATCGAAGGAGGAAACGTAGAGGAAATTAACATAGTTGAAGAGTTTTCGTTAATCTGGTCTTAATGAGATGTTAAAAATTAACGCAGCAAATTTTAGTAGAATTGAAAATTTACGAAAATTAAAATTTAAGAAAAGATATCATTATATATACGTATATATACATATAGAAATTTCGACGAAATTAAACTCTCTTTGAAGGTAAAACGTAAATTATCAATTTAGGAAAAGTTAAAAAGCTTCAACGCGATTAGAGCTTGAGAAAACAATTAAACACGCTTCGTCGCTATATAAGTGAAGGTAATTAGCAACGCGGGCTCCCGACTCACGTTTCCGCACTTTGGAAAAGTTACCGCTTGCTTTAATCTCGAACGAGAGAGGTATAAAAGGGTGGTCGCTGCGATGATCGTGAAGTGCAGTGCCTATATGGACTCTGCACTTAACCTACTGAGAGTGCGGATATTGCGAGGTGCTTCCCGGCACCGAACGAGCAGACCAGGAAATTGTGCGGTTAAATTGGGACAGTACGCACACTATCGTGCAGTACCATAGACAGACACTTGTCCATTTTGACGGCACTAATAAGAAAAAAAATTGTAATTGAAATTTTGAGACATCGATGACATAATGTTTAAATTATAGAACAATTGAAAGAAAACGTATTATTCATTTAACGTGTGTGTTCACACTTTGCGATATTTTATAGCTATATTCTCGTATTATTTTACAAATCCACTTTTCCGTTCGTATTACCATTTTATAATCACCATTTTATAATTCTCGCTGCACCCGTTTGATGTCATTTAATTATTCGATCTTCGATTTTTTTATAGATAACAATGAGAAAAAAGAGGCGAGTGAGACAAAGACCACCACCGGTAAAGTTAATGAGCAAAATAAGCAAAACGGTCAACAGCGACGCAACGACAGCCAGAAGAATCTCTTAATTGACTTGTCGAACGAGTCCAAACCGGCAGGAAATTCATGGGTGAGTGATGAAGTACGAAAGTGTCTCTTTGACGCTTTATTATCGTCAGCGCCCTTTACGAGCCGCCTGATTAGCGAAGCGATACTATAACTACGTTTGATCTCTTCCTCGTTTCTATGACCTTATACAGTGTGCTATATCGTATTGCTGGATCTATACGCCATTCGTAATTGATTTGCATCGCATCAACAGACGTAAAAAGAGGTCCTTGCTCCTTTGCGGAAGGAGCCTTTGCAGCTTAATTAATGTATCTGAAGTGTCCAACTTTGTTCGTATTCTTGGAGAACTTTAGAGAGGAGAATTTTCAATACGTATTTCTTATTTTTCTAAAATCTAAGCGGAAAAGGCAGAATTTTTACTGTCGTTTTTCAATTGGATCACAGGATTTTAATATATATATTTTTGACGCGGGCTATTTTATCAAATATGAGATATTCGGAATGTTTGCAATTCTGTTTGCACGTGTTCTTTAATCATTTCAGTGGGGAAATGTTATATATTTACCCATCATTTGCTACTCCTTTTTGTTCTGCTTCTAAAGATCACTAATTCTACAAACAGTTTTAAATCTGCAAAAAAGAATTCTTATTTATGAATAATCTGATTATTTTTGCAATTTTTAGTAATAATAAAATGTTAATAATAGTAATAACAAGATGAAAATTTCCGAGTAGGGTGAGAGTTGTCTATTTCTATCAGGTCTGTTTCGAAGAGGATTCGGACATGAAGAAAAGTCAGAAAAAGAGCACGACGATCAACAATAGTATTCCGATGACCACGCTCAGGCATCAGTCGACGGCGTCCACTCCGGCTCACCATGTGGTACCCCGGCCAACGGCCGGCTTCAAGATGCAGAATGCCTGGGGCGAGTCCAGGTCGGTCGATCTGATGTGCTCGTAGCAGACAGGATAGCCGGCGGCTGATAGCTTCAGAGACGTGCCATTGATCACGGGTCTCTGGAAGCACCTCTCGAACAATGGCCAACCCAAAAAGACCAATCACTAAGACCACCGGTCCGCGTCGGGGCGGTCCTGACAGTTTCCGATCGCAGATTACTCGTATTTTTATCGAACGCTGAAGAGAGACAATGATATCCATTCTGTGTGATGTAATGGAAATATCGTACACGTTCGACGGAGTTTTCAAACTCGTTGAAGGGATGGTTGCGAGTGATTTTTATCAACGAGAAAAAAAGAGGGACGGCAGTAGTTTTAAGGAGGACCAACCCGCGGCGCAGAGAAATTGCGGTAATCGGGGTGGGAACAATTTCTAACGGATTTTTGTATAAATACGTGTATACCTGTGCCAATTACTTTACGCATACATATCGCACAAATATTGCTAAGTGACAATGTGAGTCAAGACACTCGCTTTTTATCGTTTTCAGTGATATTAGCTCTGGAAATAAGATTGAAATTAGTCGTACTTTTCGTTTTCAGAGAGCAATATTCCATTTTTTTAATTAAAGGTTTACCGGAGAATTGAAAATCTCAATAAAAGACCAGGTAACTCTATTGTCAAAAATAAATCAGACTTTTCTAGAATTTTAATCAATAATTTATTTTAAATAAAAAATTCGATTAATTTACGTTACTGCAATTAAAAAAAATATGATTCTTGTAAATCTTGATTTTGAATATCTATTTCTTATATATAAAGTTAGTTAGTTAAAGGTATTCGATTGTATCAATAAGAGACAATATCGGCGAGAGAGGAAAGAGTAAATATAATAATAATCTTATAATCTCATAAGGATATTTCGAGTGTCAGTGCTGAAAAGTCCTCTCTAGATCCGAAAATATCGCTGCCACATTCCAACCCCGTATGTTTAAAACGTTTTGCACGCGTCTGCAATGCAGTGTGCAAATAGAAATTGCTTTAAACAAATTTCTAAGTAAATTAAAAACAGTTTTTAATAATTGCTTTGAATTAAGTTTTGAGTGAATTCAAAGAAACGAGTTTTCGAACACGTAAAAATATGTTTTCCAGAGTTAATATATTTTTATTATTTTTTCTTGAAAACGCATTGTCGTAAGAAAATGCGAAAAAAAAAGAGAGAAAAGGTTTCGTAGATCGATTCCGTATTGTGGTGCTGGACAAAGAAGATGCTTTACATAATTGTTGATAGTCGAGCCCTTGGTTGAATAGCTGGACTATTTCTCAGTTGAAGTTTGTTAAGTTCTTGTCCAACGACGTACATAATCATAGTCTCTTAAACATGAAGAAACAGCATTGTTCTCAATGCGTTATTGCCGTGATTTGCGATTAGCTCATTTTACAAGGAACTTTTTTACATTCCGAAGAAATAAAATTTGTCGGATAGATTTTTCCGCACCAATGACGATGTTATCGATAGTGTTGGTGCAATTGATATTAAATTAAAAACTATACAAATATTACATATTAAATATGAATGTGTTGATGTATACGTTACGAATAAATATGTGCGAGTAGCTAAGTAGAGCATAATAGTGCCACTAATAATCGTGGAGTGTTAATATGATTTAGCGTTAACTATATTAATATTTATAATTTATCTATTTGTTAAATCGTAAATATATTAAATATATTAAATGTATTCTGGTTTTAGATCGTATCTGTGCGCAATTATCGCGATGGCGTCTTATCAGACAGTTTAAGTCTTCGTTTCGCGTAATATATTATTATTGATTGTCAGTTATTTTCAGAAATAAAATTCACATTTGCTCTCGTACAGTCGACAGAGGGCTGTGTTCGAAGAAGGTTTATCAGGTGTAGTATATCATGTAACAATTCACTGTCTATTAATGTTATATCATCGAAAAACAACGTTTTTAAACTATCAGATCAAATTATATCGATTCTAATGTAGAATTATTCTCATGAAGAGTTTCCATAGATTCGTGAAGTTTACCACGAGGTGATATGAAACAATCGAAATGTTCATCTTATCATTATAAGTCGTATTAACTCTTTTTTGATTTTTGATTTAAGATTCTTGCATAAAATTTATTGTTTTATTTTTATAGATTTGTATAAAATATCGCTGATTAAGAAGTAAACTATTAAAAAACATTACTTAAGAAATTTTTATAACATAAAACACTGAAAAATGTAAAACAGCCTCCAGATTTGTTATGTTATTTATGCTTATAATTAAAAGGTAATAATTGAATACTCAATTTTTGCTGCGCAAAGAGCATTTATGATCAAAAAAGGGTTAAAATATCTTCGACTGTGTTATTTTATCACGTATGAACCGATGGTATCAGCTGTAATTCAACGACTGCAATCCAAATATACGTTGATAACCATCTCGAAATAAATAAATACGCGAAAGTGAAATTCATATAGCTGTATATTAGTCGACACACGATCGCACTTGTATCGCCACGGGAATGTTATATACATTTTTGCGCTAAATGTTCGTAGTTCGTAAGCCAGCACAAATCAAATATACATATACATATCTAACGTACATTTTATGACGATTTATCTTCATATAGTGTTAAAGAAAAAAAAAACTCTCTTCCTTGCGATAAAAACGAATGATCGATTCACCTTATTAATATTGGTAACTTTTTTTACATTTAAAATCTTATTTAAAAGAATTACGTTGGCATATTTGTTTAATTTATCGATGATTTATCGAAATCATTGTCGTAAAGTAGAGATCAAGTCATTGGAGCAGATTTATTCCTCGAAGAAGGATGAGATGATAAAGTGTTATACAAAAGATAGAAAGAGAAAAGTATATTTAACAGAAATTTATTGTTCCAATACATCACGAATGTAATCTCTGAAAAGGGGCGTAATCTCCCAGATTCTGGTTAAATCGAGAAGAAGCAAATATTACGTACACGAGGATGTTGTCTAATTTTCCTTACTTTCATATTTATTTTATTCGAGCTTTAAGCAGTTTCTTGGCCAATTTACAGTTCTTTACGATTTTTTCTTGTTAATAGATTTTTATTGAATTGAAGACGATTACATTTAAGCAGCAAGTCCTTTTTCACAGACTTCAAATATCTCTTTTGAAAAATATTAAACTAGTGAACGCAAGATGAGCAGTTTTCGAGAACTCTTCCTTGAGATAGACAGTACTCTGAAAATATTTTGAGAAATTTTATGTGCATTCTTAGCAGTATATAATTTAGAGAATCTTACAACAGGCCTGGCCAAAAGCTTGCTCGCGAGCAGCCTTCAGAGTCCGCTGGATGAGAACTCGGCCCCCACTATCTCGCCGTCCCCACTTATGTTTGTTCGCTATCTTCTAAGGCTTAGAACAAAACATAGCGAGCAAACATAAGTGGGGACGGCGAGATAGTGGGGGCCGAGTTCTCATCCAGCGGACTCTGGAGGCTGCTTGCAAGCAAGCTTTTGGCCAGGCCTGCTCTACAATAATTTTACAATGTAAGGCTTACCTCTTTATTATCACCCCTTTTTTTTCTAAAAATTCTTGGCTTTAAGACGTAGACGTGGCTCGTAAACGTCGGTATTTCAGATCGATTTCGGGAACTACTGCGCGTTAAACGATTTGTTAAATGATCCTTGTTTGTATAAATATTTTGACAAGTTGAATTCTGCAAGAATTCCTTTTCAAGTGCAGATTTTTTCCTAGCACTGCTGTCTAAAATGCTATTTCCTGCCAGTACATCTAGAAAAACATTCCGATCTTCCACTTTATTCATCTCTTTATTATCACCTCTTTTTTTCCTAAAAATTTTTTAATCTTATACTCAAATCTAGACTGTCCTCTCATGTAGCTTTCTTTGCACATTTTTATTGTTTAAAGGACTATCAGAGTCAGTATCAGTATCAGTATTATTCAAAACATTTCTTCTAGTTTTTCTACGTGTTGGCCTCAGATTAATCGTTTTTGCTTTGGTTACAATATCTTTATTTTCGGATTTAGATGTTGATGCTATAACATTACGATGTGCTTCGACTGTTACTAAAAATATATATATTATTTAATATTAAGATAAAATAAAAATAATTTGAATATTAACATTTAATTTTATTAAATAATATATATATTTTTAGTAACAGTCGAAGCACATCATAATGTTATAGCATCATCAATATCTAAATCCGAAAATAAAGTTATTGTAACAAAAGCAAAAACGATTAATCTGAGACCAACACGTAGAAAAACTAGAGGAAATGTTTTGAATAATACTGATACTGATACTGACTCTGATAGTCCTTTAAACAATAAAAATGTGCAAAGAAAGCTACATGAGAGTATAGAGGACAGTCTAGATTTGAGTATGAGATTAAAGCCAAGAATTTTTAGGAAAAAAAGAGGTGATAATAAAGAGGTGATAATAAAGAGGTGAATAAAGTGGAAGATTGGAATGTTTTTCTAGATGTACTGGCAGGAGATAGCATTTTAGACAGCAGTGCTAGGAAAAAATCTGCACTTGAAAAGGAATTCTTGCAGAAATCGACTTGTCAAAATATTTATACAAACAAGAATCATTGTTTAACAAATTGTTTAACGCGCAATAGTTCCCGAAATTGATCTAAAATACCGACGTCTATGAAGAAAGGAGCAAGTAAAGTCACAAATGATAATTCGAAAAGTAAGGTGAATAAAGAGCCGGATTCAGATACATTGGTTAAACGATTACCCGACTCAAATCCCGTTAAGGAAACTTGTTTAACGCGCAATAGTTCCCGAAATCGATACAAAACACCAGACTTTACGAGCAGGGCCACAAAATTGTCTACACAGTCCGCAAATCTCTGAAGGCTACTCGCGAGCAAGCTTTTGGCCAGGCCTGCCTTACAATATTAACGATTCTTAACATATTTCAAGAAGTATGCTCTCAGAATATTCTTTCGAGAGTTTAATCAATACAAAGATTTAAATAAATCCAATTTACCTTCCGCTAGTTATATCATACAAACATGTTTACGAAATTCCTAATTAATGCAGTTCACATTACTTTCTCAGAATACTCGCAGAATATTATTACATCTTGCGTTACCAGTCCAATCTGTCGTTTAGCAGTATGAAAAATCCTCGTGTCCGCTTTTCGAAAATTCCCTGACGCTTCTAGTTAGCGATGTCATCGCGCGTATTATATGTATAATATATTACATCCCGTATTACAATGCGCCTAGGCGCCTTGACGTCTCCTCCGCACGCACCATTACTTACTTTCTCATATAAATACTTAGCAATTACTTATACGCGATACTCTTACGCTTAATCACTATCTCGTCGAGGTTGGTGTTTAACAATCGCACGTGCCGCACGAGAAACCGCACCTCGCGACGAGTGTAAAAAAATAATTGTATTCCACGCTTGAAACGAATCGCAAACTTATTATTAGCGTAACAAAGGGATATAGTAATCGATGTAAAACTATGTTCCGCGATCACGACACTTCCGCGATCGCGTCATCGTGAAATAATTCCTCTCGCGATAAATTACATATTCCTAAATTACATTTCGTAATGTGCGCAAAAATTCGTGTGCACGATGTACAGTGATGCGTATAAAAAGTCTTATTTCCTCAATGTAAGCCTTGGAAATTGCGACAATGTAAGGAATAGGACGATTTTATCCGTGCGAGATTCTCATGCGGCAATTGAGCGCACCAAATTCGCTTGGCAAATTTATAACACACAGAGTGTTCCGCGTAAGTTAACCCGGTTATATATATATATATCTTTAAAATATAAGAGGAAAGCTTAAAATTTGATTACATGATATTTCAAAATCAGAATATTTTTCAAAGCAGTATATTACATTTCAATATCGCGTCGCTTTACGCGACACACCCTGCGTATAGCGTGATCGGAAAACGGAGTATAGGTCCAAAATTTAACTAATAATAAAATCAATCGTATCGTGACTTTTATACAACTATTCAACACTTGACAACTTAATAAATTAATTATTAATGTAATTAAGTATGTTCTGAGATAATGAATGGAAAAAAATATGATATTAATTGTAATCTGAATAAAGGAAAGGGAATTTTATATTATAATTAACAATACTTTATATTTGATCTCTGTCACTGTTAATGCAATTTAACGTTTCTGTGAATTGTGGCTTATACTCCTGTTGCAGCACACGCTGTATGTTTTCTTCCATTCCTATCCTAAATTACTTTACGTAATTCCAATTATAACGGTAGTAATATATGATACAACGTTTTTCTTAAGCTACATTGAAATATTATTCCGAACTGTGTTTTCTTTGCATGTTCGCTCCCCTTGTCTTTCACTTCCGTTCATCTGTAGCAAATTAGTGAACCGCGTAATAAAGAATATTTGATATATTCAAGACAACTTTTATGAAATACGTCAACAAAACTATCTATCTCGGTTATCAGTTTCAAAGCTTACTTATATTACAGATCATCCTTCTCAGACTTTTTATATTTAGCAAGCAATTTTGAAAAGTTCGTCAATTTAATTTTACAAGAACACATTAAATAAATAAATAAATTTCAGAATTAAATAATCATACTTAACTATACATGACAAATGTTACATATACGAATTTATCTTTCTATTTATCTTGTTTAGTGAAAATTCGAACATTAATTCTAATAAAAATTAATGTTTAAAGTTTAACCAAACTTTTATCTTTTTTTAGAGTATAATTTTTATATTTTAGAGTGGTTTCTCTTAACAAATTTTTATTACACGAAATTAGTAATCACTTAGGCAATTTAATTTTTAGGTCTGAGAAAGATAAATCAAACTACACAAGAATAACAACGGAACGTATTGGTTACGAATTGGTTATCTATATTTAGATCAGGCGACGATTTCGGAATGTTTAATCACAGGAACGGCGATAAAAGGAACGCACTAAATGCACCTTGTACATTTCCCGTGTATTTCGCACACTTGTCCGTCGGAATTTTCATGCACATGCTACCTTGTACAACGCGAATATCAGCTGAATCCCCAACCAAACAATTTGAAGCTTATCATTTCGCACTTGTGATTCTCTTGCTCGCAAGTAACAACGAATAATATATAATAAATTAATTGAAAAACAAACTTATCGAATTTTTTAAGTCACATTAGCTCAAATAAATAAACAAACGCAAGCAAATAAGAATTTAATAAACCTTTTTTTATCTTTTCCAGAAGAACCCTTTGCAGAGAATCGACTGAATTATTAAACGCTTCGTTATCAGTGACATGCTATTTTACATTTTGTGTTCCGCCGAAAAATTGATATCGGCTTTCGATGAAAAATGTCAAAAATATAAGATGCAAATTGATAAGCTCGAAAAAAATTCGAAAATGTGTTCGGTGGGCTTTCAGAGAGCTCTGGAATGGCCGAGGACGAGTATCGATCGGCTATTGGTTGCGCGATGCGAAAGAAATAGGATATTAATTGTGTTGCTCGTCGCCACGAGCTTGTTCCTTTTTACTCCTCCTCGTCTTCCTTCAGCCGCAAAAAGATGCATTATTCACAGCCTGTGCTCTCGCGTCTAACGCTCTTAAGTATGCTCGTCCACGACACGGTGAAATTTCACACGTGCATCACTACGCTCTATGACAAGACATGATATGTTAGTGTATGCTAAGTCTTGACTACGCTTGCTGTCGTTTTTCGCGTGCAAATCTTGTCGATCGCGTATATCTAGGTAGATCTTTTAAGCACCTTTAAATCTTATTCAGTATTTTCATGTTATCCCTAAATATAGTTATCTGATTCGAGTGTAACTTTAAATGTAAATTACAAGAGCATTAGTTACCGCTAATTAAAATTAATTAAATTCTTATTAATTACTTTGTCAAAAGTTTTTAATAAATTGTTTTCAAGTGCAATATTGTTTTGAAGAAAATCTTTCGTTTCTTTTTATTTGTTTTGCGTCTTTAAATAAATTAAAATTTTTGAAAAACAAAAATTAATCGATGAAAGGATCTGTGCTCCGTATGTTTCAAACGTATGACGTAAGGATCCTTGTCTTTATTCTATATTTTCCTTTTCTTTTTCATGCCTAAATATATGTGATCGAACGCAAACGCATATGCATGCTCGACACTCGTTCATCATCAAACAATTAAGTACCACTTCTTCATTTCACACAGTCACTTGCGCTGATCGAGAAATCAATCGCTTTACTGTGCATGGCGATCGTTTATTGGCGGACAGGACGTATAAGCCGTAAAAGCGGAAGCTCTTCAAGATTCCTCCGAGCGATGGCAGATTGCTTTGCGTATATTATAGTTCGCATCTAAGAAGGATACTTGGACTTCCTTGTTCTCTCGGCTTTCCTCTCTCTCTCTCTCTCTCTCTTTCACTCTCACGCGCATACTTTCTTTCGCACACAACACGCGTACACAACAAACACTCTCTCCTTTGGCACATCAGCTCATATGCTATTTCTCTATTCGCTCTCTAGCCTACCGTCGCAATAAAAAAATATGAGGAATAAAAATATATCACGTAACAACGTCCCCTCTCCCTAGAAGGAAGAGGAGGAACAAACTGAGGGCGAGACCCTCACGCAGCGGCGAGATACTCAATAACTCCCACGTGGAAGCATCTTTTCTCTCCCTAACTAATACTGACGCGGCGCTCCAGCTTCAGCATTGATCCTGCGCGCCTATCTGTGCGGCAAACTGCCAAGAATTTTTTATTTTAGGGCCTCTCTCAAATAATGTAATATGCAAATGATACACTTGAACTGAATTCCTCTAGCTTGATCAACCTTTTCTCATATCGTGGGGAAAAGATAACGAGAGCAATCAATTTCTGCCAAACGTCGATGAAAGAAGAATGGCGCAGGACCAGTTGGAGATCCCGGATGCAGAGAGATCGCATCAGTATTAATCTTTAATCGAAGATTACGAAATCGCACGGAGCGTTTCTCGTTATTCATTCAAACGCTTTGCTATAAAGGAGCCACCGTGTATGACATAATATATACTGCATATATGATTATATAACACATTCATATTATATACAATTATTAGATATTAATAATATTAATAGTATTAATATCTAATATATATACCAGTATATATAATTAATCATCGGGTGGCCACAGCTAGATCAGTTAGGGATAAAAACGGCCGGCGCGTGTTCGGAACTTCGTCTCCTCGTCGATGAACCGAGACCCCCAGCGTTTCTCGGGAGTGATTTCGCGGGACGTTTGCCGCAAGCGAATGTCACGTAAACAATTCTTCATTTCTTAGTTTTGTTCCTTCGATGAGAAGTGAGCTCCAGGGACGTGGCTATCACGGCGCGAACGGTCGCGCCGCGTCGACTTCGCTAGAGGCAAACTTTGGCGCGCAGGAGCCTTCAACCGAGCCAAGGTAGCCATCAGCTGGGCTGCGGCGGCGTTAGTTTCACCAGGAGCCATGTGTACAACTTCGGCTTCCGCTTGTCGCTCAGCTCGTACTGCAGGTTGGCCAGTCCGTCGGTAGAGAATCTTTTCTTGCCTGTCTTCAAGAACTCGTACCTGCCGTCAAAGATTGCATTATTTATTATTACAGCCGGCGTCACGAGGAGTCGATCATTCTATAAAAAAAAAAGAAATAGCTGACCTCTTCGGATTGGCTTTTTCCTTTTTGTGCGTGAGCATCTTGTAGCGCGCGACATTCGCCGGATAGCGCGAGATATGCAGGCCGTGCGCCTTGATACGGTTCGCCATGTCGTCGTCCTCACCGCCCCAGCCCCAGAAGACGTTGCTGAAGCCGTTCACCAGCTGGAAGTGTTCGCGCGACATCGCGGACACGCCGCCGAACAGATCGGCGTAAGGTAATCTGCGAAGAGAGAAGAATATTACGGAACGGAAAAGAGAAGGATAAATATATTTACCTCGTGCGAAATATTATGAGAATGATAATAGATTCAAGTACGAGGGTGAGTCAAAACGTTTCAACAGTTCTTTTCACGCAGAATCTAGCTGTCAACATGCAGATTGTAGGAAAATAATCTACAAGTATAATCTTTTAATGAATATATTTTCTAGGTTAACGATTTGGAAACTTTTGACTCACCCTCGTATTTGTATAAAAATTAAAATTTATAGTTATTAATGTTTATATTTTTATCAATTAATTCCGTGCGCAAGAAGATATCGCATTCTTACCTGTATTTGAATTTGTCCACTGCGACCGACATGTGTCTGGGCTGCTCGGGACAGGTGTACAGATTCCTATCGTCCTCCGGAAGTAGGTCGACATCGTGGAAGATGAAGCAATCGAACATTCTTTCTCTCAAAGCCTCCACATAGCCAACGTTCATGAGCATCGCTCGATTGAAGGCTCCGGTGCCTAAGAAGAAAATGCTGTCATTAAATACCGCGGCAGAATTATAACAGGGAGATTCAATATGATTCAATATACGTCTTGTAAAAACAAATATTGAAATTAAAAAAAGTAAATAGAATAATATTCAACATATTTGCCCAACCTTTTTTTGGCCAGAAAAATAATACACAAAATAACAATTTTATTTCGATAAATATTATTTGAATATTATTTGAATATTATTTGAATAAAAAAAAAGTTTTGATCGAATAGAACATTTTATGAAAAATTTTTCGGTGAATTAGCTCAATACGCAAAATCTTGCGAGTCATTAATCTCCTCCCCCCTTCTTTCTCTTGAATAAGTCAGTTAATCAAAAAGCAGGAAGTCGAGCAGCCGGATGAAAATGCGTTGAATCTTTGAAATACTTCATTGTTAATAAAGTTTCAAAGCATTTAGCACAGCGATGCAGCATGAAACTTTAACGCGTCGTCTCTTAATTTATGAACGCTGATTAGTTCGACCTACTACACGATATCAAAGTTGCTTCGCGCTCTCGGCTCGTGGCTGCAGCAAATAATCCGCTTTTCAGCGTGTTTTCGTTCTCTTAGCAAAGTTGTTATAACAGACTTGTTCTCAAAGGCCGTCCCGATCCCCCTCAGGAAAGGATGAGGAAGCACGGGTACAAATTACTGTGGCTTTGACAAGAGACTGCTGCCTTAGGGTTGACGAAAAAGAAGCTGCACGATTCCGGGGGATGTTTGCCAAGTCGTCCGGCGCAATTAAAAGTTTCGCGTCTTGGTTCCCTCGCGGTTGTTCAAACGCCGCGATAAAAGTAGGTCACACATAAGAAACTTGGGTGAATTTTCCTTGCATTCTCTATCATCTGCTTGTCGTCTTTATTCTCTTGGCCTGGGATTTCTGATTAATTATTGAGGTTAATTATTGCGTTTGATTAACGAAGTCGCCTGCCGAACTTTTTTCGGCGAATTTTCATCTCATTTATCTTTCAAGTTAATCTACGATTATTACTTCAATGCGAAGTCTTTGATAAAGGTATCAAGCTAAATAAATTTTGTTTAAATCGCACGAAACAATTCGCAAATAAATTTGCGAGCGAGATTTATCGTGCACGGCGAAGGAAAAAGGCGTGGGTTTTTAAAAGGAGCCTGAACTGGATTTAACGTCATCGCCGTTTCATCGTCCGTTTATCCGAGAATAATTACGAGCCTGACAGGCTCTTCCTCAAAAGACGACGGGAGAAGGCAAAGGCTAACGCTCTCAAAGCTAACGGCTGTGTCCTCCCCGTTTGTCGTCGATTATTATTGGCTGAATGGACTTCGCGCTCGATCGAATCTCTCGCACTACCCACCGACACGTACAGACACACGCAGAAAAGTTATGAGGAGGCCAAGGACCTCGAAGGAGTGTTCGCCAAACGCACAGCAGGATATAAACAGTCTCGTTTTCCCGGTGGAAAAGTATCTCGACGTAAGGCATTTTAGATATTTCTTTATATTGTGCTAGTGCTGGCGACGAGTGAAAAGGAGACGATAAAAAAGGGCGGCGGAGGCAAACGGGAGCGCGGAATACGCCGAGTGACAATGAAGGGACGCAGGTGTAGCGCGAATACGGTAAACAATTTCACAAGGGAGAGAAATGGAGACTCACTCGGAGGAGCGCAAAAAGAGAAATGTTAATTAGAAAAATAAGCGCTCTAATGACATTTATTGCGAAGGAGCCCTTAATTATCCGCGTCGCACTGATGCGTATTCGCGTTTCGGAAAACGTTATACAATTACGCTTAATGAATTAGAACAGAACAGAAGCAATATCGTTTAGCCAAAAAGAAATACAAAGATGATTACTCAATCAACTGTATAGAGTGTCTCGAATAAGACATCAATAATTGAAATTTTTTATATAACGTGACATTGATGCGATATCGCGAGGTTCAAATTAATTATAATTAAATACTTAACTTGTGAGGGATAATAATAAAGAGTTATAGAGTTAGATTTAATTGAGTTGATATAATTATTTATGAAGAAAAAATAAATTGAAATTAAAGTTGATTGAATAATTTAAGAATTTACAAATTTTTATCACGCTGATCTTTCATCATGTTTTTGTCAACTTGCCAATTAGTTACCCCAATTATTATAATATGATGCACAAAGAGAATGCAGTTGTGCCGTAACAATGAATGGCGACTAGCTAAACGTTTATTAATGACTTTCTGTTGTGATGGGTTCCCTTTGTAATTTTAGTAAATAAATGAAAACCGTCTGCGAGTACTTTTCCGACAAGAATATACTACTTTCAAGCGGCAACGAGTTCAATTCATTTCCATATCCGCTTCCGCGAGACTCACTTATTTATTCGTTCGAAAGAATTGCGTTTGCAAGTTATGCGCTACGTTTATTCAGAGTGTAAAAAGACATGCGTCGTCATCCTTGTCAACGTCGTCGACCGTCTGTATCTCTGATGTTTAAATTCCTGAAATATCGTCATCATCCCTTCCACTTTTATCGTAGTTTTCTCAACTTTCGTCGCCGGGAAAGTAATTTTCGCGTCAGTTTCATGACACTGCAATGCTAGATAATATTTTTGTGTTATTTTAAGTCTCTCACTCCAACAGTAAAACATATCTTAAATTTTATTACCGAATAAAATTATTTTTATATTTAATATAACAAAATAATAATTTCATAAAACGGCAAAATTAATTATTCACAAAGTTATCGCATTCAACCGTGTCAGAATTTTTAACAATAAAAATACGATACTGGCATAAGTAGTAAAATTTATTTTTTTCACTCAGTTGCTTCGCGATAACTGAGATATTTGTTGCAACGTTTTATGAGTTAAAAAATTTCTTCATGGTAAGTTTCGTGTATAAGATTTATGAAGTATTCAAAGATTGCGTCTTCCTTGCTTCATCGTCTACACATTTTAAACGGCAGAGAAAAAAATTTCTTAGGTGAAGCTCGACTGCACATCAAACCAGACGAAAGCTTGGAACGCAAAACAAAAGTTTTACGGTATGTACTGTTAGTAGTTTCGAGTTTGCTGCGTCAGGTTTCCGCCCACTCTGGTTATTTTAAGAATTTCTTCAGCCTATATGTAAGAGTTTCTTATTGAACAAAAAATTCCTGGGCGATGAAAAAGTAAACATTACAGTCTTGAAATAAATATTTTACAATCTTGGGCACAAAATTTACCACGATGGAATTTTGAAATTCGCGAAACGTTGGAATAAATGTCTCAATTGTTACTACGTGGAAAAGTGAACATTAATTAATATATTTTTTATATTCTTTTGGAGTAAATATTTCTATGAAATTTTTGTGCGTATCGCATCGAATAACCTTACTACAATCCTGCCGAATGACGTAATTGAAGAGGAAATCTCATAACGTCGCCTGGAAGTTGTCACTGTCTACTTGTCTCGCCATTTCCTCAATGCAAAAAAACTCAATTACATCCCTAGTTGTATCAAGAGGGAACAGCGGATTTCCTTGATATCGATGATACCAGTCGCCGTTAATGATCGTATATAGTTACGATAATAAGAGTCTCTGGCGCAAGTGCACCAGTGTTTCCGACAGCTCTATCCAAGCAATATTAATGGGCGGATTCTGTATAGCGAGAGTGCCTGGAGCCGCGGCCACCGGCGACAGGTGCGACTAATTATGTTTGTCCGCGAGAAGTGCACGCCTCAATATTCTTGTCTCGCTTCCGCGCGCTGGCGGACGTGAATAATAAAATGTAATAGCGCCAAAGTAACGTAAATACGTCCGATATAGTAAATAGTATTTAATCGATTTCTATCTAAGAATCTTTTCGAATCTTTTCATTCTCAAATCTAACATTTCAAATAAGATAAAACAAGAAAATATAAAGAGTAATAAAAGCGTACTATAAAATACTAATATAATATATATTTATTTAATGCTTAGCGTTTGATATCCATCGATCTAAAATATTAAACAATCAGAATCAGTGTTTAATCACTCGTTGTTGAAATTATTATTTATCTCCAAATCCAGGAAGTACATAAGTATTTCAATATCATTGTAAATGTTTATCAAATCCCGTTTCCTCTGAAAAAAATAACGTTATCAGAAAACCGGAAATATGAAATATCGAGAAAACGCGCGAGATTAACACTTCCAATGGAAACCATTCTCTCTCTGCGAGGCATCCTCAAGCTCTCATCCCGTATCGAGAAATTGATTTTGTTTGGGCCAGGGGGAAGTACGCCATGAATCTAATTTCCTGATCCGCGCGCAGCCGTTTGGCCCGACTTGCTGGAAACGAAGTCGCGACTCCACCGACGATCCTCCGCATGGCTCCCGGAGCCGATAAATATTCAGCATAGCACTAATTATGCAAAAGCGAAGTATTCGGTGGCTGACTCCGCTTTAATTCCGCGCCGAGATACAGTTCACGAAGAGAAAACAGAGAGAGAGAGAGAGAGAGAGAGAGAGAGAGAGAGAGAGAGAGAGAGAGAGAGAGAGAGAGAGAGAGAGAGAGAGAGAGAGAGAGAGAGAGAGAGAGAGACAGAGGGATAGAAGAGCTTGGGATTTGAATTTCAAAATTGCGGCCGAGCGCGACCATGTCCGAGCCATTTGGGACAATTAAAGCCACGTTAATTCGTAAGTGTACACACACACTGTCACATACATTCTATACCGTACTCTATTCGATATGCTTTCGATTTGCGCACATTACAAATAGATTTCCACAAACTATAACTGCGCTCCCTTTATAAGCACGCGAAAACGATTTCGATAATTTCAAGTATTAAGGAATCGTACTTTTCGTCTTGCTACGACCTGAAATGTATATATAATGTTTTATATATTTTTATATGATATATATTATCCTTCATATGATTTATATGATCTTATTTTATATTATTTTCAATTGCGTATTTATATTTTTGCGCACAAAAGATTTTCATTATTTAATCCATTTGTTAGTTAACTCCTGTGCATAGCTGCGTTCCGTCTTTTTGACGAATGAATGGTCGGATTAAGTGTCCCTAAGCTGGGCTTGACGATGAATGGTCGTGACTTTGCACGTACGCGAACCATAACGGTATCCATGCCGCATGGTGGATACACCGGCTGCGTATGAGATAATCATGATCCATCGTTTGGTTCGTTTTTTAACGCGATTACACGGTTGCACCTTTGCATGGGGCGCCCAGGTATAAATAATAAGATAAACGACGTGGTCGTAAATCCACAATATAAAATTGCGCAAAATAATCTTGAGAGTGGATTTACCGATCCTCGCTATGAGCAAAATTTAATTTACGAACCAGATTTGAAAAATTACGTCGATGAAATTAAATTTTTGTTTGTTTGTTGTGATATTAAAGCAAAATAGCTTGGCAAATTTTCATTCGACGTCAGTAAATTTGAGATAATCTGACGTAAAGTACGTCTGCGTTTGCACAATGCAATACTCATTCCGGAAAAAGAATGGGTGATAATAGAGCTAGACGTGCCGTTGTTGAAAAGTCACTGCTCTTTTCGCATTAAATTTATCGCATTATCGACAAAAAGTATTCGTACTCGAAATTTTTTGCGTCAGAAGTTTCAATCCAATTTCGATCAATTTTCTTTCTTGAAAAGTGGATTAGATCACGTCTTTTTAGCGATCGCATCGATAATACTTGTGCAGCATATTCGCATAAATTTTTCAAGTTTAATCGAATATTACGACTTTTGGAGTTTTCGTACGGCTATCACGTTTGCCGTGCATGATGCAATCGTGAAGTGAGCTGTCCTCGGTATACCGCATTGCGGGAAGGAAGAGCACGAGGAAAACGGCACTTGGTCCCCCAAGGTTCTAGGATTAGATAGCACTTAAGCTTGACTTATCCGAAGCGTTCGAAGCTGTGCAGGCAGAGCGCAGAGCTGACAGTGAATAACAGTACGGCGCATTTTCTAAGGATCGCGCGCAGCAACGGCGAGGATAAATCGTTGCTGTTTCGCCGTAATTAATCGCAGCGGCTCGGTGAAATATCGTCTTCGTTAAATTATCGCGAGAATTCATTGCACGGCGATCTGTCGTAAATTAACGCCATTACGACGGAATACCGATTCAATTGAAATAATCCCGCGGCAAAGAATCCTTTATTCGTCTCGGCGGAATTACAAAGGAACAAGTATTAGCATTGCGTGTGATCTCCTTATCAAATTATTGCGAGGACCGATTTCCCGTGAATTTCTTTCAAATTAGTATTAATGATAATGTAATAGTAATTACATTGAAATAGTTCTGCAGTGAGAAGTGTCTTTTCACGAGCTCCGAGCAACTTTCGTTAAATTATTATGGAAAATAATCGCTTTGCATTTTGTCGCAAATTTGTAACAACGAAAATAATGCTGCCGTAATAAAGCATTTTTTTTACTTGTTTTACATTATCTTTGTAAAAAGCTACAAAAAAGGAACGCAATAAACAATTATTAAATTATATTAATATTACTTTTTGAATATTTTTGTGGAATTTGAAATATTAATATTAAAAAAACGCAAAAAACAAACAGATCACCAAAAAGTAAACAACTTTTAACGCTGATAAATATGTAAAATATTAATTAATATGTCAAGTTATTATAAAATATTTCATAAATATATTCATGAATATCGATACTGTAATGTATTTCTGTACTTTTCGCTGCGAAATGCCCGATTGCGCTCAAAAATGGCGAAACAACGGCTTCTTTTTTTCCCCTTTTTTTCGTATATTCGTTTGCATACCGAGCGGAGAAACGCGAGCGAAATCGGATTTAGAATTCCATCAGGAATTCCGCACTCAAAACTTTCCAGCGGAAAGTATATTAAACTACACTGACATTTTCAAGGAACGTGTTCCCGAAATATACAGAGAACACATATCGGTGTAACATTGCCATATTGAAACAATTGAAACCCACTAACAATTGCAAAACAAAGGGAGATACCAAACAGGAAATTGATCCAAAACGTAAGCAAGATACAACGCTAAATGCAAATAATAATACAGAATATTCCCGGTGCGGTTACCGAATTCAGTATTAATTATATTCAAATTGTAAACATTAACTGTAGCTTTTTACTACATCGTCCGTTCTTTAAATTTTATTCAAATGTGCTACACGTATTATTCACAAACATATTAAAATTAGCTTCAATCGAACATTATTAGATAATAATTTAATCGTATTGTTGAGCAACTTCCTCTTTTGTATGTAAATTTATAGTATGTCATACACACATCGAAAATATGCAGAAGTGCGTTGCATAGAATGTGAGAATTAATCAAAGTCATATTTTGACGTCTCGCATACGCGGTAAGTAAACAAACTTAGTCGAGCGTTTCACAATTTTAATGAAGATAAATTGCAACTCGCTCGCAGCCCTCCAATAGGTAAGATAAATAGCATTTTCTTGTGCGACTAAATAGAATGATAGATTTTGTATCTCAGTAAAAAAAAGTAAAACATTATCCTTCCGTAAGATAATTTTCTTTGCAGATCTTAATACATAAAAATAAATCTAATCACTTAACGAGACGCTTAAAGTAAAACTAACAAATCAGTTTTATATTTGTATATTCTTAAAAATTATATTTCAATTAAAATAATATTTATAATTTGCTAAATATCAATTATTCATATTAATTATTGTATAAGAATCAAATCTAATGAATTGTAAATAAGATTGTGTGTATTTATGTATTAATTGCAGATATCATGCTTATTAGTTATAAAAGTATTACATTTATAATTACAATCAGAAGCAGAGTTCTAAAGCATCCGGCAAATATATTTTTCATTTATGAGTTGAAAATAATACCTGCAATATTCATCACTTCCGCACCCTTTATCTCTGTGCGCGAGTTATTACGGGCATCGCGATGTGTAATCATCAGCCTTAAATATACGTCATAAAGTGTCTCGTAAAGCAGCTCATAAAAGGCCTCGTAATTAAGATTTAAGGAATGTAATTACGGTGTACGGCGGTGAGCAGCCGAAGGAGCAATAGCATGGCGGAAAACGTATCCTCTCGCGCCGTAGTCATTAAACAAACTAGCAAAACCAACTGCACGTGCACCAGGTAAATTCTAAGGGCACTTAAAAAATTTCATTAAAAAATAACCCGCGCCATGTCAGTGGAATTATTTTGCGTCCTTTTACTGGAAAACACTCGCGTTACCTCCGGCCGGTCGATCGCCCCGAGCCGGAAGAGGAAGCTACCGAGAGAAAGAGAAAGAGAGAGAGAGAGAGAGAGAGAGAGAGAGAGAGAGAGAGAGAGAGAGAGAGAGAGAGAGAGAGAGAGAGAGAGAGAGAGAGAAAGGACGTATACAAATTTAATTAAAAATTAACTCGCAAAGCTTAGAGACGGAAACTTTGAAGCGGTCTCTTTCGTCGGGACGTTCTGACTCCTGCTCCCCCGGCATTCTCCTTCCGGCAGGAAGGTCTCCGCTCCGCAGAGACAAGCAGGAAAATACGCGGGCAAGAGGAACGTCCGCTAGACGGCAATAAATCGTAGCAAAGTATCGGCTTACACGCACCAACGGTGCCGCTGAAGAGAAACTCGGAGATCGTACGTTTATATCCGCTCTGCGGAAACGAGCCGTGTGCTCTAGAAGATACTATCGAAACACTGGAGTGCACACAACGGACGTATTCAGGGTGCTCGCCAATAAGGATTCAAGGTTTTTCAGGACACCGGTGCAAATAGTGAATTTGAAGTTGATTTCTCTTCAACGAGAATTGGATTAGAATCCGTCAAAGAGTGGAACTTATTATTTATAACAATAATTATTAATTTGATTTTAATTAATTTCCCGCTATCGGAATTGTGTAAGCATGTAAAAATTAATAGTGATAATTACGGGAATTCGTTGAGAATAATATTGGTTTGTTCGCCGCAATTAATTCGAGAGAGATTAAAATGTTCTCGACACTTTTTGCGGACGAATAAATTGCAGTTAAATTACAGCTTTTTGTAAACGAGGTGCATGGAAAAAGAAGTGAATCCGGGCATTCGGCCAATTTTGGTTGCAACGCCCACGGCCTCTCACTCACCTTCCTGCTCGATCACGAAGATCTGATAGTCGATCTGCTGGCGCAGCAGGATCGGATGCAGATTGTAGAGGAGAGTCTGCAAATGCTGCGGTCGGTCGCGGAATGGAATGATTATGGCGACGCGATGCCTGGCGACGCAGTCCGCAGGTCGACCTCTGCCACCCGCTTTCACCTCCACGAATGACTTCTCTATCTCCGGCATCGGTGGTGGTGATTTACTAACGACCACCGGTCCAACTGGGAAGATGGAAAGAGTTGAAGAGGAGTTGATAGATCGAAAATTAAAAGAAATAATCTACATTCGTGTAAAAACAGCTGAAAGTATTCGAATTTAAGAGAAAAATGATATCCACGTTTAATTGTATCGTAAAGATGTTAAGTGCATTGGATTTTAATATCGCACTTGTGTTTACTGCCTTCATAATGATAAAAGAAGTTAAATTGAAAAAAAAAAAATATAATACAAATTTATTCAAAACAATATTTATTTTCTCGTAAAATAATTTAAGAATATTGAGACATTTTTAAATCATCACGCACATTATCGTATTATTACAAGTAAAATTTGAAAATTGTCGATTGATTCTTCGTGCAACACATTAATCTGAGATACTAAAGCATTTAGGAAATTAATATTCATCTGTTTCAAGATGAATATTTCATTCGATTGATTGCGCTGCAATTAATTATGAAAGCCAATTATTAATGAGCGTCAGAGAGATGGTGTAGTCCCTCTGAAATAGAATACATCTCTCACTCTCATGAATGTGAGATATATTCTGTCAGAATTCTCTGTGACGCAAGTACATGTATAATTCAAACATAAATTGGTCCACACAGCCATAGCTGATCATTAGTCTTTAATATTCCCGAATCACCACGCTCCATTGCTGGATTTATGAATATTAAATTTTTCATGAGGCAAAATTTTCAATAATTTCGCGATAACACGTGTTATAATTTTGATAAAACGGCACCGGATTCATTAATCTCTATCAATTCTCGCAGACTTACCCAGATTCGGTGGAATGAGCGGGCAGCGTGGAATCGTCGCGTTGTTGGTCGCGTTCGCCACCGGAAACTCTCGTCCAGTTCCATTGTTGCCGACCAGGTTTTTGGTTGGCACGGGCTCGAATCGAGACGAGTTTGAAAGGCCTTTGGCCAATATCGAGAGTATCGTTGTCGAGGATACATTGCCGCCGTTCGAGCTCGGCACAACAGTCGCCGGGCCGTATATGATCAGGCCGCGCGGGTGCGTCCTGTACGAGCGATCCGCGTATCTGTAACAAAAATAGAAGAAAAAAGATAATACAATATAAATTAATAACTTGAAGTTTAGACTCGCAAATTTCAAAACGATGGAATAGCAGGAGGATCTCAAGCCAAAGAAAATTGTAATTCTTGATATCTTTTATTGAAACCAATGTTTTAATTAAGCAGCATACGTTTCAGCTGATCATTCAGCCATCTTCAGTGCTACCTTTACAAAACTGTTTTTAGAAGACCGTAAGTTCAATTCGTCTA